TATTTACATTTCTGTCGTGTTTCGTCTGGTGCAAACAGCCAAACTGCTTATCACTGCAAATCTATTCATGTAGTGCACAGGTGTCAAACTCAGTTCCAAAAGGGCCGCAGCTCTGCACAGTTTAGTTCCAACCCTAATTAAACACACCTGATCAAACTAATTGAGTCCTTCAGGCTTGTTTGAAACTACAGGTAAGTGTGTTGGAGCAGGGTTGGAACTAAACTGTGCAGGGCTTCGGCCCTCCAGGAATTGAGTTTGACACCCCTGATGTAGTGTGTTGTTAGGACATGGGGATCAGTGGTGGAAATAGCACTGATAAAGCATACTTAAGTAAAAGTACCATTACTTGCCTTAAAATGTAGTGCACGTAGAGTAAAAGTATCTATTGTAAATATTACTCAAAGTATGAGTAATAAGTATTACTCTGTAAAAAGCATGTCATTTTGGATGTGTGTAAACGTAACATTCTGTAGTGCATTAAGTTATTGCCCAGCAGGCACACAACATCATAAGACAATAATATTAGGTTTGACTTAGGTTGTGATGTCTGGTGACCAAAGTTCAACCTGTAGCCAGCGTCTAAGGACATTATTTTTACGTCCAATAACAATGTCAGAATTGATTGATTTTAGGTCGTGTTAGAAAGAGACAAAAATCCGATGTTGAGCAGAAATCTTAAACCAACATCAAATTGACATCAGATACTGACATTTATTTGTCAGGTATGGCAACCAAAATCCAACGTCTAATAGACGTCATAGTGGTAATGTCCACACAACGTCAAGCTGTTAGATCACTAGACGTTGATATTTGGTTGATTTTAAGATTGGACTTTGGACATTCACATTGGCCTGATGTTGAGTTCTGGTGTCAACCCGATTTTCGTTTCCAAAGAAAATGCAGCATCCCCACAGCGTTGGGGTACAACATCAATTTGATGTCATGTTGACGTCTTGTGCCTGCTGGGTGTTTAAGGCCATTTCGGTCATCATATAGTAAACATCCGTCATCTTCTCATCAGTGACATGCATCTAAACAGCCTCTGGGTCAATGCGTGTACAGATTTTGGACATCTTCTTGGACTCTTTTAATGCTTCCAAAAAGTTTGCTGCGTTTATAAATCGCTCATGTCTTGAAGTAGTTCATTATGATGCGATTTACTTTCTATATGCGATTTGAATGAGCTGGAATCACTGAATTTTCTACTCAGCCAGTCTCCATAGACAAGAACAAATAAAGCAGTGACTGCAGGTTGAAGGAAAGTAGTGGAGTAAAAGTACTGATACTGCATTTAAAATGTACTCAAGGGAAAGCAAAAGTACACATTTTTAAAACTACCTAGTAAATTACAATTCCTGAGAAAAACAACTCAATTACAGTCATGTGAGTATTTGTAATTTGTTACTTTACACCACTGATGGGGATACAATGTAACCTGCTTACCTAATGTTTACTTTGTAGTATTTACATTATTTGCTAATTTATAACCTCAAATGAAACTCTTAATCTGTGTCTCGTTTTGGAGTACTGCCCATAGGAGGTCGCATTTCTGTCACATTTGTGCTGCAGGGAACACAAGCTTTGAGAGCCTTCCTTTCTAAATGAATCAAATACACTGTTTTCCACCAAGGCAACCCGTGGTGCTGAAAGTGAATTGGCTAAACTGACATTTTTCAGATAAATTATCTTACAATCATCACAAATACCGCAGAAAACCAATTGGAACCTGCATGGACTTAAGATTTTCAGAGAAATCAGTCAAGTATGGTGAAGGAAAAATCATGGTTCGGGTTACATTCAGTATGGGGCGAGAGATCTGCGGAGTGAATGGCAACATCAACAGCCTGAGGTGTCAAGACATTAGTGCTGCAGGGAATACAAGCTTTGAGAGCCTTCCTTACTAAATGAATCAAATACACTGTTTTCCACCAAGGCAAGCTGAGGTGCTGAAATTTAATTGGCTAAATTGACATTGGGCGGGTTAAAGGACCAAAACAAAGACTGATGTTCTGGCACGTAACGCACATTTTCAAAGCAGAACATCTGACTTCAGCATTGTTTTTTAGATAACAAGAATGTTCACTTAGCATGTTTCTTGAATATCTGCGAACATATTATGGTTTGTTATGCTTTAGAGGAGTCAAACACTTACAAACAGCACTTTCAAAGAAGCTTCCATGTGTTTTCTAAGTCTGGAACTCCTTGATATTCCTAGGCTGCCCATTTCTGTGAAAGCCCACACTAAAAGTTCTCTTTGAGAAATGCCATGCTCAGAATCGCTGAGTTAAGACTTTTACAAATCCATTCTCTTCTACTGGACGTTAGCGGTGTTAGCGTGAGCGCAGGCCTCATTGTACTGCTAATGAGCATCATTAATTTCTGGCCTGTGATGCCCGCTCAGCCCTGACCACACCATTACACTCACAAATAAAAGGTTTGATGATATCTACACATTTGCACACATGTCCTGCTTTGCCTCGCAGCTCTTTTTGTCCCAGCCTAGCTTTCAGATGCTAATCGGTGACAGACTCAGTGTGTAGACTACTTGTGTTCCTCTATGTCTGGCTACATTTACACTTGTGAGTTTTTGTTTTAGCTACACACAGCTTTTGACATCCACAGTTTTCGATCCTTGTAATCTGAAGTTGTGTTTCAAATGACACACTATGGACTTTTACATTCAACTGTAGTGTACGAGTTTAGTATTGCTTTAAATGGAGCGCTGATTTTTTACTGAATGTAAATTCAAACTTCTAAACTACCAAATACACTACTTGATAAAAGTCTTGTTGGCAATCCCAGTTGTAAGAGAGCAACAAATAATAACTTGACTTCTAGTTAATCATTTGGAAAAGTGTCAGAAGGTACATTTTTTTAGACGAATTATCTGTTGAACTGCAAACCAATCGTCACAAATACTGCAGAAGACCTACATGAACCTGCATGGACTAAAGATTCTCACAGAAATCAGTCAAGTTTGGTGAAGGAAAAATCATGGTTTGGGATTACATTCAGTATGAGGACATGCAAGAGATCTGCAGAATGGATGTCAACATCAACAGCTTGAGGTATCAAGACATTTGTGCTGCCCAATACATTACAAAACACAGGAGAGGGGGAATTCTTCGGCAGGATAGCGCTGCTTCTCATACTTTAGCCTCCACATTGTCCCTGAAACAAAGAAGGTCAAGGTGCTCCAGGATTGGCCAGCCCAGTCACCAGTAATGAACATTATTGAGCATGTCTGGGGTAAGATGGAGGAGGCATTGAAGATTAATCTAAAAAATCTTGATGAACTCTGGGAGTCCTGCAAGAACGCTTTCTTTGCCATTCCAGATGACTTTATTAATAAGTGATTTGAGTCATTGCAGAGATGTATAGATGCAGTCCTCCAAGCTTAGGGGAGTCATACACAATATTCATTATTTTTCCACTGCAGCATGACTTTATAATTTATACTGGACATTATTTCTGTTATGTGACAAGACTTTTGTCCAAGCAAAGTCAGACCTTACTGTCCTAATTAAATCATTACAAATCAAGACATGATCCTATTTTATTTTGGTCAAATGAGTGTAATCCAGAGGTCTTTACCTTTTATTTAAGCCACTTCTTATACCAAATGATCTGACTTTAACTGTATGTAATATTTGCAGCCAACTTAAAATGCATTAACGTATTCTCAATCAAAGCACTCACTGGGCAGTGCCCGCCAGGCGCGTCTGCCTACTCTACTGGCTTGTATTCCTGAGGGTCTGAATTGTGCTCTGAGCATGAAATAAAGCCTATCGCATCCGTCTAAGAAAACTCCAAAGTTTCGCTTTTAATATTGCTCTTTAAAACGTTGCATGATATTCTGTGAAATTACATACAGTAAAATAAAATGTCACTAGAAGTCCACTCATAATTTCTATTAATGTCATAAATGTTTTTGTTCAGAATGTATTACAAGACATTCTTACAGTCACTATAAGTGGTGGAAACCGAATAGGAACATTTACATATGGTAGTTGAATTTACAGCATGTGATATTTTAGTATTACAAAAATCCAACCAACCAACCAACCAACCTAAAACAAATATTACTTTCTCCAGAAGAAAGAGTATTATCGGATCTACTGTGTTGCTTTGTTGGCTAATAATTTTGATTTCTACTAATATATTAGGGCTGCACAATATGTATAATTTCAGCATCTATACCTCAATGTGAGAATCTGCAATAGTCACATCGCAGGTCTCATGCAGTTTTAAGTGAATTTACACCATTTGAATGCAAGAAACTATAAAAATTTGCCACTTTAGGACAGAACAATTTTGTTTAATTATTTAAACAAGTTCTTTCATCTGTGCTGTTCTTTCATCTATTTAGTAAATATTAATTTCTCTTATAATTTTTCTTTTATAATTTTTATAGTTTTATGTATGTATGTATGTATGTATGTATGTATGTATGTATGTATATGTGTGTGTGTGTGTGTGAGTGCGTGTTTGCATGTGTGTGTGTGTGTATGTGTATGTGTGTGTATATATAAATATATATGTATATATTTTATATATATATATATATATATATATATATATATATATATATATATATAATGTATATATGTGTGTGTGTGTATATGTATGTACTTTTTTATTAAATATTTTTTATTGTTTTTTTATCATTTCTATTTTACTCTGTTATTTCAGCAAGAAGTTAAACTTGATGTAAATATTTTATTATATTAAAAATTATAAAAAAATATTGTTTTTTCACACACAAAAAACAGAAAATAAAAATATGAATAATGATCATTTTATTACAAGTAACACAGATGATTTTATGGTTTTATGTGTAGTTAACTTTAACAATATTCCTGATTATTTGCAAAAGATATGGAGGGCTAAAAACTATTCACTGCATTTAGTTAGTTGGTGTCGGACTTGGCATAGATTAATGTCGCTGTTAAAGAAGTCCTAAAATGAAGTGAAACTAATGTCTTCCGTTTTGTTTTCAGCTCCAGCGAACGCTCAGATTGTGCATTCAGGACAGGCGTGTGTGGTGAAAGAGGACAACATCAGTGAGAGGATCTACACCATCAGGGAGGGCGACACACTTGTGCTGCAGTGCCTGGTCAAAGGACACCCGCGCCCTCAGGTCAGCACACGCGCACACACTCACACAAACATACTCACATGCGCGCACACACACCGCTGGATTTTTAAACTTTAACAAGTAAGAAGAAATTATTAGAAATTATTGATATTGCTATTCAAAACTACAATATTTATTGGAGTAGACTCATTTTTGCCATGTAATCTTGTGTGATTTTTGTTAAATGGTTCCAGATTTGGTTTTGATCCCAGCAAACCTAAAAAAAAAAAATATATAAAAAGTAATTTGCACAATTATCTCTTTGTTTAGCATTTTATAAAAATGATCAATTTAACTCTTTCCCTGCCAGTGATAAGATATCTCGTCTTAAATGCCTTTTTTTTTCTTAAATGCATTTAGTTTTTAGTCAAGGTTGTTGTATTTATATGATTTTCTGATGTTGTATTTATATTTTATCGGTAATAAAGTGAACATGAAACTTAACACATAAAGATAGAATACTTTTTTTATTAAAAGCAGATGCTCAGATCTTTTTCAAATAAAATATGCTTATATATTTAAGAAGAAAATATTCAGAGGGCTATTGATTTTAGGTGAAAATCGTAAAAAAATACATCTTAAAAAAAAAAACTCTGAATGAAAAAGAGTTAAAAGTGCATTATGCTGGGTTCACACCAGACTCAAAGTTTGCACATACGAGGAATTTGTTTCCTTGACAGAGCTTCTACAGTGCAGGACCCAAAAAAAAAAAAAAAAAAAAAAAAAAAAAACGGATAATAAATATATAAAAGGCAGTAAGTAGTGAATGCAAATATACAAATAGACAAGTGTATGTACATAGAGCTATATTACTATATACAATGTTATATGTGCAGCTGTTATGTGCAAATTGGCATGTAAAGTAAGTGTGTTGTTAAATAAGTGTATATGTGTATAAAAGTGTATGGCAAGTAGTGATGTTGGTTCCACAATTATCATCAAGTGTTCATGAGATGGATTGCCTGAGGGAAGAAACTGTTTCTGTGTCGGGCTGTTTTGCTGCGCAATGCTCTGTAGCGCTGACCATATCAAAAGATAATACTTAGGTTTTTATTCTAATTAGATTTCAATAAGCCCAAATCCGCTTGTTAAGTGTGACGTCACGCGGAGCGCTCTATTCAACTAAATGGGGAGATTCATGAAATGGTAATAATAAACGTTTACAAAGCGATTTAATACTTTCGAAAGTTACGATCACAATATACTGTACAGTATATGTCCATGCCTAATATCCGATGAAAGTGATTCATTGTTTTATAAATTGTTTAAATGTTGTTATTTGTTATGCAGCAAGCCCAGAGATTGTTGTGTACACAATGACTTTATGTAAAATTAACTTTAATGTGATCATAAACGAATGATTTCTCCACTCAAGTGAATGGCGGCTTGGACCCGGAAACAGTATTACATATGTCACAAACACGTCATTACTTAACAAGCGGATAGTCAAGAGAAATAAAAAAGCATGTAAAAAAACATGTTGGGCCTTAAGAGGTTAAGATGTTGGCTCGACGTTGAATTTTGGTCACTTTCAAACACAACCTAAAATCAACCAAATATCAACGTCATTTGACGTCATTATTGGACCTCAAAATATTGTCGTCCATCAATGCTGCCTAGACACTAAGTGGGGGGTTATGGCTGACGTGATTGAGGAGTAGGGGCGGAGGGTTGTCACGGGCCCCTAATAATATCTCTGGGGGCTCCCAGAATGCATGGGCCCTTAGAATCATTCTAACTTCCCCCCCCCTTAGCAGCGCCCCTGCTCCCCGTGTACACATGGGTTTCCTCCGGGTGCTCCGCTGTGGCAACTCCTGATAAATAAGGGACTAAGCCAAAGGAAAATGAATTAATTTAATACAATATAGTTGATTTAAAACATCACATTCTTTCTTTTTGGGTTTAGTTTAGTATTAAACTACATTAAATTGTTCAACAAGTTCTTAATAGGTCACCATTCACACACACCACCCCATATGACCTCTGCATGAACCGTTGAGCATTTGTGCATAAGCATACATCACGCACCTGATAAAAGCTGACCGCAGACACTGAAGCCGAGCGCGGGTCATCCAGTGGAGCTTTTATTGGCGTGTTATATAAGGTAAAGGGTGAGCTGATAACAGTAGGAGGTGTGAAGAGCGAGGCTCCCACCGGCGCTCTGTCCACTGCCATCAGATCACTTATTAAAGCTTCTCATACACACTCACGCTTCACACAAACACCTGTCCACATACATTAGTGCTTCAGGATGGCATCAGGAAAACACCCCGATCTGATCTAAATTCCATCAGTTTTCCCTACCGCCGAATATAGAAATCGCTATTCTGAAAACATGATCCTCGATTTCCATTACAAATGTCAGGACATTGTGATAACAACGGGCCCAATATAGAGTGTGAGTATAGTCTCGGTGTCTGAATATAAACTAATGAGGATATTATGGAGGATATGCAGTGCCAGGCGCTGTTGCCTGCGGTGTCTGGCTTTACGGGTCACTAGATAGACTATGTATGTGTGTGTTGTTATATTTATGCCTGGATTGTCTTAAGGATCATGCATTGAATGTACAGTATGTTGACTTGTTTTGCACTTTTATATTCGGGTCGATGTGTGTTTGTTTGCCGTCAGGATATATTGTATGTATAAACCATACTGAAATTTGATATATGGATATATATGAACATGATACAGTTGAAGTTAGGATTATAAGCCCTATATTTTCCCCTAATTTCTTTTTAATGGAAAGAAGATTTTTTTTCAACACATTTTTAAACAAAATACTTTTATTAACTTATTTCTAATGACTGATTTGTTTTATCTTTGCCATGATGACAGTACATAATATTTTACTGGATATTTTTTGAGATGCAACTAAAAAAAATGCTTAAGGGGGCTAATAATATTAACCTTAAAATGCTTTAAAAAAAAAAAAAAAAAAAAAAAAAAAAAAAAATATATATATATATATATATATATATATATATATATATATATATATATATATATATGGATATATATACAGTTCTTACAAATTTGAACATATAAATAATTCAAATGGTTAAACATATATATGTAAATGGCAATTCTTGCTGTATTTTGAATTGTGTTGCATATATGGCATATACACTCACAGGCCACTTTATTAGGTACACCTTACTAGTACCCGGTTGGAACCCTTTTGCGATTAGAACTGCCTTAATCCTTCATGGCATAGATTCAACAAGGTACTGGTAATATTCCTCAGAGATTTTGGTCTATATTGACATGATAGCATCACGCAGTTTCTGCAGATTTGTCGGCTGCATATCCGTGATGCGAATCTCCCATTCCACCACATCCCAAATGTGCTCTATTGGATTGAGTTCTGGTGACTGTGGAGGCCATTTGAGTACAGTGAATTGTCATGTTCAAGAAACCAGTCTGAGATGACTCATGCTTTATGACATGGCGGCTTGTTATGCTGGACGTAGTCAACAGAAGATGGGTTTACTGTGGTCATAAAGGGATGAACATGGTCAGCAACAATACTCGGCAGACTGTGACGTTGACATAATGCTCAGTTGGTACTAATGGGCCTAAAGTTTGCCAAGAAACATTGCAGATGAATGCAGGTTTTTTTATGTAGTTGATACCAAATTCTGACCCTACCATCCCTATGGCACAGAAATCAAGACTCATCAGACCAGGCAACGTTTTTCCAATCTTCTTTTGGTCAATTTTGGCGAGTCTGTGTGCCTCAGTTTCCTGTTCTTAGCTGACAGGAGTGACACCCGATGTGGTGTTCTGCTGCTGTTGCCCATTTTGCTGCTTTTATCCACCTCAAGGTTGGACGTGTTGTGCGTTCAGAGATGCTCTTCTTGGTTGTAACAAGTGACTATTTGAGTTACTGTTACCTTTCTATCAACTGGAACCAGTCTGGCCATTCTTTTCTGACCTCTGGCATCAACAAGGCATTTGCACCCACAGAACTGCCGCTCACTGAATATTTTCAGACCATTCTCTGTAAACACTAGAGATGGTTGTGCATGAAAATCTTAGTAGATCAGCAGTTTCTGAAATGCTCAGACTAGCCCATCTGGCACCAACAACCAAGCCACGTTCAAAGTCACTTAAATCCCCTTTCTTCCCCATTCTGATGCTCGGTTTGAATGGCAGCACATCATCTTGACCATGTCTACGTGCCTAAATGCATTGAGTTGCAACAATGTGATTGGCTGATTAGAAATTTGCGTTAACGAGCCGTTGGACAGGTGTACCTTATAAAGTGGCCGGTTAGTGTAGTTTATATGTTAATTGTAAACATGGACTTGTAAGTCATATATATATATATATATATATATATATATATATATATATATATATATATATATATATATATATATATATAGATATAGATATATATATATATAGATATATAATTTGCATATTTGTTTGCCGTATATGTCTGATATGTCTGATATCATAATAAACATTTTTAGGATTCAGGAAAATTACTGAAGGTATTTAATTTCAAACTTGGTCTGAATATTTTCTGTAAATTTATGCCTCCGATCCATTTCAGCCTTTTAAATATAAAAAATGCTTAGAAAACGTTTCATTTTGAATTAAAATGAGTATGCATAGTCCATTTTGAAATGTTCTGAAATTTAAGGTCAGTAAGCTTTGTTTTTGAAAGATATGAAGCATTTTATTCTGCGTGGATGCATTCAATTTATCAAAATTGACAGTAAAGATAATTATAACGATATAAAATGTTTCAAATGAATGCTGTTGTTTTGAATGATCTTGTTTTATGGGTATAAACTAATGAGGCATGTACTGTTGGATGCTGCTGCCTGCGGTGTTGGGCCTTCATGGGTCACTAGATAGTTTTGTTGCTTTTTTTATATACATATTTATGCTTTGATTTTTTTTTTCCATATGCTATTATCAAAAAAGTGAATAGTTTTAGTCATCGAATGCATTAAATTGAAGAAAACAAATATGAGGACTTAAAGTAG